TGGCCTCAGCCACATGTCCATTACCTTGCAGATACTGGGCATATGATGGTGTATTTGTTAACACAGTATCCTGGTGAAAACTCTTAACTTTTACAAATCAAGAACGTTATTTGAGCTGTATATCTGTCACTATACTTAATGTTATGACCTCAAAAACTTTAAATCTGCAGAAGGCTGAGGTCTCAGATATGATTACCGCTAGTGGTGTTTTGATGTTTACAGGACACAACACAAACATTTAGACTAAACCATAGCTTCTGAAAACAGAGCAGTGAGGTTTATGAGAACATGTGATTTAGCTCCAAACAACTCAAATTTAAATACATCTTAAGCCTTGAAATGCATCTAAGATAATGACAGAGCAACAACCGCTGTGATTCTTCACTGACCCAACTAAATACAACAAACATTTAACAATAAAAACATTATTTGTCAAAATGATGTTTTACTTATTAATATTCATAGATGAACTTCAATTAATTGTTTTTCTCTTGTTCACTCTACCAAATGTCTCATTTGCTTTAACACTATATTTCTGCTCTTGGAGCTTGTGCACACAGTAAGAGATGGAGGAAAAGCCAAACAGAGACTCACCTGGGAAATAACGCTCAGGGATCTTGGTGACATAGAACAAGAAGGCAGATCCAGCTATCAGGTACATCACTATCACACGAGGCAGGAACAGCTGAGGAAGAAAGTAAAGATGCACTAATTACAATTTTCTTGGCCGATTCCGATTTTTTTTTTTAGACCTGACGATTCAGATTTTCTAAGAACTGCAATTGACAGCACACAAAGACATTGTTGTAACTTTTCTTTAATGAAAAATTCAATTGTAATAAAAGTAAAACGCTTTATTAAAGTTCCAAACTCCACTGATCAACCAGTGCAGCTCTAGAAGAAAGAATCATGTTCTACAGTAAAAAAAAAATTTTAAAAATCACTATTTCAAGGTCACAACAGCAACAGTCTCTTAATAAAGTCAACACATCTCTTAATAAAGCTGCAAAAATACATGAGCATATATAAGCTTGCTGTCACTTCATATTATTTCCTGACCTGTACGACATCAGAGGTGAATCCTCCATTAAGCCAAACCCAGTGGCACGCAGGAATCACACTGATGCCAGCCACACAGAAGAAGATAGCCATTCGTATCTGTCGCCAGTCGTTGCTGAGGTAACGAGGATGAATCTGAGCGCAGAAGACTGCCAGGATCAGAGACAGCACCGTCAGCAGGTACACCTGTCGCCAAAACTGCAAGACAGAGGAGAGTAACACATTAGAGATGTTAAGAGCTGGACTATCTGTTTCTTTTTTAGAAATGAGGACATTAAATATCTAATGGTGGAAATTCTGGATCACATCATTTTTCCAGGTTCATCTAGCTGTTCTACAAAAGTTAAAATACCCTTTAGGTCCAAAACATTAATCATGTTGAAACTGCTATCCTGAGTTTTCACACTTACACCATTACAGTAGAAAGCATAGAAGAGGCCGGGGACGTAACAGCCCAGAATGCCAACAGAGATGCCCGCATAGTCCAGTGACAGCCAGCGACGGCATGTCTTCTCTGATCGGTGACATGAGAACAGGTGATACCCCACGGAACACAACATGCACACCTGAAATGAACACGCACACACAAAACTGGTTATATTTAAAGCATTTTTTATACATGTACTGGTTACATTTAGCAAATTAGTTTCTCCTATGAGTACAATACACCAACCAACTTTACAGACACCCACAGCATGAAGATATCAGAGAGAAAGGTTTTAGGAGTGGACTAGGAGGGTATAAGTAAGTGGGAATCCCACCGACTAGTCAGTTATTATATTAACAATTTTCCAATCCATTACCTACAACACAATGCACACAATCAACACTTGTCTCTACACTGAACAATTCTTATGAGATGCTAATGAAAAAAAAAACACTAGCATTCACATTGTAGCTCTTCATAACACAATACACTGTGCCCCGCCTTGACCTGAATGTACCTGTTGTAGGAAATGCACAAGTAAAGCTATGTAAATCACTTCACTAAATGGCACATAAAGATGGGTCTTTTCCAGGATGACATTGCCTCCATCCATAGGGCAGGAGGGGTCACTGAAAGGTTTGATGAGTGTGAAAATGATGTGAATCAGATGAGGGTGCAGAACTTTCTCTGATAACATTAACTTCTCTGACAAAACAAAACCTCAGCTTCTGTCACACTCACAGTGTCCACCCAGCCAGTTTTACCTGAAAGCAGAATAGTCCTATAGCATAGATGACGTAGTCCTCTCTGTTAGCTCCAGAAGCTGGCAGTACTGAGGAGAGGTCGTTGACCCCCAGACAGAAGAAGAGCAGGAAGCCCAGCAGATGGCTCCAGATATTCACAGTTTCATTGGACAGAATAAAAATACTTCAACAGAAAACAAAACATATATATAAGCAAAAATACAAATCTATGGACATGCAACAAGGCAAGCCATACAAAAACTAGAGTAATGTCCACATGCTATGATACCCATGGTGTTGGCATAAATACAGTGGGTACGGAAAGTATTCAGACCCCCTTAAATTTTTCACTCTTTGTTATATTGCAGCCATATGCTAAAATCATTTAAGTTCATTGTTTTCCTCATTAATGTACACACAGCACCCCATATTGACAGAAAAACACAGAATTTTTGACATTTTTGCAGATTTATTAAAAAAGAAAAACTGAAATATCACATGGTCATAAGTATTCAGCCCCTTTGCTCAGTATTTAGTAGAAGCACCTTTGGAGCTAATACAGCCATGAGTCTTTTTGGGAATGATGCAACAAGTTTTTGTTGTCTGGCATGCCGACGCTGCCTCTGTTCCTGAGCAGGTTGGCTAGACCACCTCCGTTCCCATCCCTTGGCCAGGCTGTGCTGACATCCCTGCTGAGACTGTGGCCCCCAGGTGTGCCGACAACAGTGTCCCCACCGAGGTCCCTGATCCACAGTTTGCCACCGAGGACATGCCAGGCGAGGTCTCTGCTCCTGTCCCTGAGTGGGTCAGTTGAACCACCGATGCTATCCCTGTTCCTGAGGGAGGGAGTCATTGGTAACATCGACCCTGTGTCTGTGTCACTTCCTGAGTGGGATGATGGGGTCGGCAATGCCACCCCGCTTCCAGCTCCCAAGGGGATCGGTGACGCCACCCTGTTTCCAGAGGGGGTCGGCGATGACAACAACTTGCTCCTGCTTCCTGAGGGAGACGGCATTGCCTTGGCCCCATCATCAGTCCTGCCAGTCAGCCCCTCATCGGTCCTGCTATTCAGCCCGCCACCAGGTCCACACCCATCTCCTCTGCCGGCTATACATGTCTCTGCACTGCCGGCGCTGTCAGTCATCATGCTATGGGGGTGTTTTTCAGCTGCAGGGGCAGGACGACTGGTTGCAATCGAGGGAAGGATGAATGTGGCCAAGTACAGGGATATCCTGGACGAAAACCTTCTCCAGAGTGCTCAGGACCTCAGACTGGGCTGAAGGTTCACCTTCCAACAAGACAATGACCCTAAGCACACAGCTAAAATAACGAAGGAGTGGCTTCACAACAACTCCGTGACTGTTCTTGAATGGCCCAGCCAGAGCCCTGACTTAAACCCAATTGAGCATCTCTGGAGAGACCTGAAAATGGCTGTCCACCAACGTTTACCATCCAACCTGACAGAACTGGAGAGGATCTGCAAGGAGGAATGGCAGAGGATCCCCAAATGCAGGTGTGAAAAACTTGTATCATTCCCAAAAAGACTCATAGCTGTATTAGCTCAAAACGGTGCTTTTACTAAATACTGAACAAAGGTTCTGAATACTTATGACCATGTGATATTTCAGTTTTCTTTTTTAATAAATCTGCAAAAATGTCATTCTGTGTTTTTCTGTCAATATGGGGTGCTGTGTGTACATTAATGAGGGAAAAAAATGAACTTAAGTGATTTTAGCATATGGCTGCAATATAACAAAGAGGGAAAAATTTAAGGGGGTCTGAATACTTTCCGTACCCACTGTATAACCTTTTAAGGCACTTCATTAACACCATAAGCCAGAAATTACAAATCTCTCTCCACGTTAACTCCCACCTTTTCAAGCAGAGTTTGGAAGGCAGGTGAGCCCTGTAGCCATCTGTGATGTAGGGGTTTTCCTTGAGGAACAGGGGGATTTGCTCATAGGTGTACAGTCTTATTCTCTGGGGTATCAACACCGGCCAGTGCTGGTAGCTGCCCAGCTCTATGTAATGCGCAGTCTTCAGCAGCTTCTGGGGCATCTTTAGTAGCATCTTGTTCTCAGCTAATCTAGTACAAGGCGAGCGACGGAGGTTAAGGCTGAGTTTGGAGAGAGAGAAACACATCTGGTCACTGGGAGGCGACACTGGAGCTATAGCTCCATGTCAATTCATAGTGACAGTGTTTAGCTATCAAAACTAGCGTTAGCCCCTTGACAGGCAGGATGTAACAATGCTAACATGTAATCATTATGACACAGTTGCATAACATTCACATTGTGAAATAGCGTTAGCCTTGGTAAAATAGCTAAAGCTACTGTATAATTCGTGTTCATCAACGCCTTCAATCCCTCAAAAGCTTTTGTGCCCGCACTGAAGCCATTCTCCACTTTGGGAATAAAATTAAAAAAGAAACAGACATACTGACATATTCAAATAGCTTTGCTTTTGTCAAGCATTGTTAAACTAGGAGACTAAATTCCTCTAGCTAACTGCTAACCGTGATGGACATCAGCCAGCTAACACTGATTTAAAACGGGGTTATGATTTACCATTATTCCCATTCCGACTATCGATGTTCTTCTTTGAGCAATTCAGCCATGCCCACACGGCTGTCAAGGTACGGCGTTAAAAGAAAAAAAACACATTTTAGTCCAGTAAAATTATATAACCTACATCCATCAGTCAACTGATAACACCGTCAGCCAACCAGTCTTCTTCTTCTTATTGTTGTTGTTATTGTTGTTGTTGTGAGATAATGAAGCGGTACGTTACTGCCCCCTACCGGTAGCAAAGTGCGGAGGATAGCGCCTGTAGCCATCCATTTACCTTCGGACGAATCTCAGCTGTATCTCACAAACGCTCATTTAAATCAATTTCTTAAAGGCTCAGAATTCAGCTTGTCCTCACCATATGAGCACTACATGTTCTGAACTCTCTGTTATTGCAGTTTGAATGCAATTCAGTTTGTTTATGAACAGAGTTTAACATTTCATTTAATAGACCAGACTTGTGACCACACCCTTAAAATGCATTTGTTTTGTGGGATTGACTGTGGTCTCACACGGTTTAAACTTTATCAGCAGTGCTATGAACAAGCATGTTTTATAGCTGAGCTCACAGCAGCATATCTCTGCCATGTCAGGACTACACTGGTGGTCCCTCATTTCTGGAGACCAGTCCTCCTTCTAGCATTCAGGTATCCATTGACTTTTCCCAACTTATCCCGTTTTAACATCCATTTTCCTTTAAATTATAAGCTGTATTACAATAGGAAAAAAAAATCACATTATCATATAGTCTATGTTCTTTACCACACTGTGCCAGTTCTTTGTTTAAGCTAGGATGTTTGCAGTGAGTGAAATATGTTTTATATATTGTAGCTTCAAATTTCTATGAAAAAATTATGTAGACATCTAGTCCATCATTTCTTACACATTTCTGCAAAATTCATCCTAACATGAAAACTTTGAGATCTCACTTTGGGAATGAATAAACAGTAGTGGGTGTGAACACTGTCTGGCTGCACAGTTTAATTTATACTAACAGTCCTGTTAGCAGCTGGAAACAGATGAATAAATAACAGATGAACTCTGACACTGCATCTTACAATATATCTACTGTACATTTTAGTCTGTGAGTATCTTCCTTATAGCTGGCTTGATTAGCTGGGGGGTCTGTTTTTCCTCTTTTCTTCAATCTGTAGTTAATACTTTTTTGTTGTTGTTTTGTCTTTGCTTTTATTAGAATAGAAAAGAAAGCAACAGTTGAAGGGGACATGCAACAGGCATTTCTGTTTTTGAATCCAACTACACCACAAATAAAACACAGATCACATAACAGCCATCAGCGAAATATCCAGGGGGGGTCCCTGGCTGGCATAGGATTAGACAGAAGAGACACAGTGACTTTAGTATGCCATATTTGTGTGGTTTAATGTTGTGACTTCATGTTTCTTAAAGGCTGACAACGTCAAGCAGCTAGTGAATTGTATCCCTGCAGAGAGTAGATTAAATTATACAATTACTGCACCACACCACACAAGAGGTCCTGGAATGAGATGAGTGCCTCAGACCGATGATATTTAACAGTGTAAAGCTTTGTGAAACAGGGTTTTGCTTTCAAAATTGTTGCTCCTTCTTAAGGTAAACATGTTAAAGCGTTAGAGGGCACAGTCATTTTCTGTGGTGAACAGGCATACTCAGAGAATCAAAACAACGGGGTCTAGTCACACTGTTGAAATCTGAGTCTGTGTTTCTCCTGAGACACTGAAATCATCTAGGTGTAGTTTCTACTTTTGGGAGTTCATTTGACTCAGACTCAGGCAGCAGATCACTTTGGGTGTTGTGTTGGCTGATTTGGTTATGTTTCCAATCTGCAACAGATTTACAGGAAGACAACATACTTCTTTGTCCTAAAGAGAAGCAAGACAGAGGAAAAACAATACACACGATAACTAAAATGAACTGGACATTTTTAAACATATCTTGAAGAATGGCACCATAATTTAAACAAACTGAATTCATTAAAATATTTTCTCATGGGAAGGGATTTCTCTTTTTTATTTTAGGAAACTGGCTTTCATCACATCCGTTTTAAAAATACAGGAATATTTATGGTTCAGCTATGTAGTGATCTGACAGTATATTTTTGTTATCTCAGTCGCTATGTTCTCTGATGATGTAAAGTCTGAGATTCTACAAGCACATGACTTGACTTTGCTTTCAAAATAAAGGCACACGGGAATATAACATAAGATTAAATAAAATTGTATACTTTTTCATATCTTCATATGCAACATAACAGTACCAGTAACAGTAACTATAAATCATATTTTAAAGAGGAATTTCTGTTTAATTTATATCAAAAGGCGTTGTATTTTGGAACTATGTAGTTTCCTTCCTGCTTATTTATATTTGCCGTTAAATGTAGACATGTGTCCCCAGTGATAATAAATAAATAGATAAAGCTGCCATGTTTATTGAGCTGCATGGTTCTACAGTAAAGCAATAAATAAATCTATGTGAGATGCAATTATCAATTTATTATAGACAGTGATATGTTTGGTAGTATAGTAGGCCTGTTGCACTTATAGGCTATAGTTTAATTTGAAGTGTTCTGATGGAAGCGCCGTTTTGTTTGTACAGCAGCTGCTTTGACAGTTGAGCAGCAGCTGTGCGCCCTGCCCCGTTTACTACTTCAGTATCAACCCGCTGCTGGCGGTGTTTACACCAGTGATTCAACATGTGAGCAGCCGGGCTGGTGCGGTGAAGACGATGGAGTCATAACTGCACCGGTTTATCTTAAAATCTTTTTACACAAACTCACTGCTGATATGAAACGCACGGATTATGGATCGGATATGCATATGCTGCACAGTCCTACTTTTTGTATGTGTTTGTGTGAATTCATCGTTGCATGATGGCGACGACTCTTCTTGCGATGGAGCGTTTGATATTTATTTTGTTTTGGACAGGTGAGCCGCGAGTACTCGGTGTGTCTGTTTTATCAGTGTGCATGCACGTGTTTCCTTAAAGGGATAAATGAGACATGTTTGTTACCTCAGAGCAGAAACAGTCTTTCACGCTGTCCTCTCCATGTATGGCTGTGTTTAGTTGTCCATGTTCCTCCGCTGCTTCTCCGCTTTATTTGAACCCATCAGTGTTCAAAGTTCACTTTTACTCTCTGTCATTAAGTATACATAAACCAAGGTCCTAAGATACTTTCCAAAAATGAATAATATGTAGTTGTTCAAGCCTGTAACAGCAGAATAAACTAACCAACACCCATTATGGCTTTATGCTATCATTCTGAATTATTTATCTGTTTGGAGGCATCTGCAAATGATCAGGACTTTATTGATGTAGTTCATACTGAATGATTGATGGGCATTTCCCCTGTTTTTATAAACCTCTGTTGTCAAATGCTGGTGTTAAATCATATATTGGAACATTTTGTCTTTGGATGTGCATGATTTGTCAGTGCTGGACTCTGTTTTTTGCAGGTCAGGCAGTGTGTCGGGACACTGGGATGAGATCTATGGATTTGTGGAGCAGCTCACCAACAGGTTTGTCAAGTAAGTACAGTAGGTGTCTTGTGCTTTGAAATTGTGATGGTGCAGTACTCCCTCCCGGCCCTCTCCTCTCATGCCCTTCTCCTTAGATTTTAGGGGATATTTATACCATAAAATACCTCAGAAACTATTCACCTTTCAAAATAAAGTTTAAAACACTTTGCACACAACATAACAACTAAATTATATTCATACAGCAGAAATGAGACTACTACATTACAAACAGTATTATTGAGTGAGCACAAAAGTAGGCCATGGCTATTTTGGGCAGCAGACATCATGTAAGGCCACCAACTGCTCCAAAACCTCCTCTGGGTAATGGTGCTGAGGGTGTGTGTGATATCTTTAGGTTTAATTATGGGTTACTAAATAGAAGAGGAAAATATCCAGCCAGATGTTGAAGGTGGTGCTGAACACAACAGACACTCATGCCCCTCTTTGCGGCATGAAGTGTAGACTGAGACAGTAACACTGAGAAGGTTAGTTCAGCTCCTTGCTATGTGGAAACCAGTGGTAGAGCAAGGTGCTAAGACTGTTACACGTTATCTGAAAAAGACATTTAATGAAACGTGGCTTCAGTAATTGTTGTGTTAATGGTGTGTTATGTTGTGTCAATTCATGCAAAGTGTTATCTACTTTGGCATATTATAGTGTTATAGAAAATCTGTATATATTTAGACATTACAGTATACTACAATACAGTCTAGCATATCACATTAAATCTAGTGTTATATTAACATGATATAATAATGAAATACAAATTTAACCAAATGCGCAAACAGTAGCAAAAGTGCATAAAGAAAAGGAGATGTAGTGATGAACTAGCAAAACCAAGGGAGAGGGACATTGTGCTGTACAGGCAGTGTCGTCTTGGAACACTACACTACCGCTACACTCTCCCAGGCTATTTTCTGTTCAGTCTAAATCAAATTAATATCAACAGTTATAATCTTGACCTACTGTTTTTTTTTGCTTTCATAAAGTTGATAAGATTCACAAGCTTCCTGTCTATGTGTTTCAGCCCCAGGATGAGGGTTTCCTACATAGTCTTTTCGTCTAAAGCTGTTGTAATCCTGCCACTAACTGGAGACAGGTACACTCTTTTCTCTTTCATTGTTCTCTATCTAGGCCTCGCTCCATAACCCAACTTCATCCTGCTCCTCTGTGAAACCAACAGAGCAGAAATATCCAAGTCACACAGGAAATGGGCTCTTACCAGTGGTTATTTAAAACTGTGTTGTTCATATTTTGTCATGCGTCTGTGCAGGTTGAAAATAGATGAAGGTTTGAAGAAGCTGAGCCAAATTAAACCTGCTGGTGAAACTTTCATGCACGAAGGCATGAGAGCGGTAGGTCTGCTTATATAAAGGCTTTGTCAAACATAGTTATTACCTGGGACCATACCGTTTACACAGATGGCCACATATATACTTTTTTAAAAGATATTACTTTCAACATAAACATCCACATAAGGGAGAAATTTAACATAATAAATTTGGTTTGATTTTATACTGGATTTTGTAAAATCTAAACCTTTAATATCTTCCTCCTCTGATCTCACTCATCAGGTGTCAGAGCAGATGAAGGCACAGACTTCGCCATCATCCAGCATCATCATCGTCCTGACTGATGGCAAGCTGGAGATCTACCCCTATGAACTGAGTGTACAGGAGGTATCTTACTACACACACACACACACACACACACACACACACACACACACACACACACCTAGATGAAGAATGCAAATGAGACGGTGGGGGTGATAAGCATGAGCATCCCATCACTGAAACCTTGGACACTTGGATTTTCCATAAGTATACAGTACCAAAAGTTGTATTGTTTTATGGCTCCTTACAAGCACTGGCTTCTATTCAAGTGACACAAGAAATATGTCCAGTTTTAATTATGTGTGTGGATTATTGTTGAGTGAAATCAGTTGTTTGAGCAGACACTATGACATATGCACATACTTCTCACATTACTCTCTTGTTTTACAGAATTACAGCACTCCAGTAACAATAACAAGGGTGTGCATGCTGATTTTTTAAATGAATCATAACTCTAAAACTTTCGAGTTTGTTTTGGAATATGGCAAGCTGTAATATAAAATACACAGAATCTGATGTAAATGCGCTGTAACAAGTAAAATAACTTGGGTTTAACTGTGTCGGTAGAAACAAAGCTTTACTCAGGAGTCCAATCTTTGTGTTGTGCTTCCCAGGCCGACAAAGCCAGAGGATTCGGAGCCAGAGTATACTGTGTCGGGGTGATGGACTTTGACCACAAACAGGTAGGAGGACGTTATGCTCTCACTATCGTGCAGCGCTGTGAGACAGAAAACTCCTCTCTGTTACTGATACTGTTGGTTGTGTCAACACGAGTTTTATTTGCCTTTCTGAGGCAAAACTTCAGTAAGCTGTTGTTTTTGGTCCATTTATTAACACACCTCAACCTTGTTGCTAACTGAAACACCCCCCTGGGACAGGAAAGAAAGCAGCTGGCAGAGGTTTATGGTTAATTCTGCATTTGATTTATGTAAAAACATGGAATTCATTTTAGGAGGCGTCATGTTTTGAGTTACTATTTCCTGGGAGAGACGTTGCTATCTCTCTCTGCAGGTATCAGGCTATTGGAAGAAAGAATTGTAATAAAAATAATGATAAAAATATGAATGGATGAAACCTTGTGTTTTCACCATTGTTTTTCATGCCGAATAAGGTGGAACTCAAATGTCATCTGCTGACTGCGTTGACTGATAGAAATGTATTGACTTTAAAACACCAAAATAATTAAGAACAATAGGTCTGCAGTGTCCTGCACCTATGGTCATGAGCTTTGGGTCATGACCGAAAGAGCAAGATCCCAGATACAGGCGGCCGAAATGAGCTTCCTCCGCATTCCGGGCATGTCCCACCGGGAGGAGGCCCCGGGGAAGACCTAGGTCACGCTGGAGGGACAATGTCTCTCGGCTGGCCTGGGAATGCCTTGGCATTCCCCCAGAGGAGCTGGAGGAAGTGTCTGAAGAGAGGGAAGTCTGGGCATCTTTGCTTAGACTGCTGCCCCCGCGACCCGGTCCCGGATAAGCGGAGGAAAATGGATGGATGGATGGAGGTCTGCAGTGTTTGCTGTGATATGTGATCTCTTCTACAGTTAGCATCAGATCATAAGTTATCCTTACAACAGAAACAATTACAATGCACGGAAAAAACTGTAATTACATTTGTTGAGTAAGATAATACTACAGTATTTCATCTTAAGTGGCATCCAGTGTTGCAGAAGCCCTGCCCTGAATTACTGCATTAATGTTGCTTGGTTTTCTGTGGCAGCAATGATCAAATCACAATCATGATATTGATCTGTGATTAGTAAAAATAAGCATATCTGCATGGTTTCATGACATGACAAGTCATCAGTGGTGAGCATATGCAAGTGTACCCTGCATTGTAGGATGACTAATTGAATAATGCCAGACAAGCTTCCTCTTCCTTCATTAAATCAGGAGATGAAAGCTTCAGCATAAGCCAGAGCTGTTATCTCTTAGAAACCAATCTTTTGTCCCTAAACACAGCTGAAGCACTGAAACATCTCAGAGAGGCTCAGGGAATGTAGAGTTCTTTTTACTGTATGTGCAACCTTGAAATAAAAAGAAATTAAAGGTGGGTAAACTGTAGTTCTTTTAATTTTTGTCAAAGCTGGCTGAGATAGCAGATGGCACGGAGCAAGTCTTCCCAGTCTTGTCTGGGTTTCATGCCCTCAAAGACATCGTCAACTCGGTGAGGTTGCATCACATATAACGATGCACAAAAACATTAATGGACACATAACATGAGTGTTAATCTGCAGTGTGATTACAGACCTTCTGATTTACTTGAGCTGTCCCACACAGATCCTGAAGCAGTCTTGCACAGATGTATTTTCAATAGAGCCATCAAGTGTTTGTGTTAATGGTAAGTTAGAGGTAAAGGTCTGTTGCGTGTTCATTGATTTGGTGATTCCCCTGACTCTGTGTAGCCTTACAGAGCCACTTCCTTGGCTGTAGACTGTTGGCTTTAATTTGCTCAATCTCAATTTACCTTTTAATGTTTGCACTTTCTGTTAAAATTTAAGTACAGCGCCATAGTTGTGTAATGCTTCTCATGTTTTCCAGAGTCTTTCAACGTGGTGCTGAGGGGCAGTGGCTTCAGCGGATCCAAGAGAGCGGACAGCGTACTTTGTTTCCTCAGTGTCAATCAAAACACATACAGTCAGTAAACAGTGCACTTTTGGCAAACTCATTTTTCAGTACACTTCTGCTGCCTGGTGATACGAGTGGCTTTTGGACACTGATGCTAAGGATGCATCTACTGCAGTCCTCGTGGACTGAGCCACTGTTAAAGGTTCACTTATGACTGATGTACATGGCAATGTAATGCACTTTGGGATAACATCATTTATGAAGTGAAATTAAATACAGCATGCAGATCTCTGCTGCAGTGGAAAGTCAGGGTCAGGATGTTCAGAAACAAACAGTGGCTGCTTTTTATTGACTTCAGCCAGAGAACAGAGGAGCTATTATGAGACTGAGCAGAGGGTGGGAGGCTGTCTCGTTAGTCTATTAAGGGATAGAGTAAAGGGGTGGGGGTGTGTATCACTGGGAGGACATGAAGGCATCCTATTTTCCTCTTTCTTCTTGTCGCTCTCTGGCATTTATCTCTGCTAGATTTTTTTTTTTTCATTCTTTTTTTCTCATTTCTCTGGTGATCTGAATTTTTACTCTGGCCCCGGCTGTGATAGAATATTTTGAGAATGGAAAAAAAATGAAGAAACATGCATTTAAATTTAAATATAACTAAGTTAAAATAGACTCTGGAGGTAGCACAGCATTGAACAACTAGTGAATCTTTTGTTTGTTGACTCTACTAACACATTCTACACATTTTTCTTATACTTTCAATATTGAATTGTTGGTACCTTTTATTTATTTTATATCTTATTTCTTTCTCTATTTCCCCTAAGACCAAAAACCAACAGTTGTTAGAGACGGCTACCTGCTGTGTCCAGCTCCTGTTTTGCATGAGGTCGGACAGTAAGTGAACAAGCATACATTCACATACACAGAATGTTTGTAGCCCTGTGTAAAACTGTCAATAAGCTGCAAGTGAAACAGAAAAGAGTAGAAGAAATACTGACACATTGAACACTTTTAAGTAAATTAAAACATTTATGTGCTGATTCCACTGCACTCAGGAAGAATGAGTGCATTATCCTAATAGTATTATCCAATAAATGCAAATTAGGATCACACTCAATAATAAGAAACCACTTTATTCTGCAAGAAGACAGACCATTTTTTTGGTCAGCCATCGTTCACCAGTATCACAAACTCGCTGTGCAGCTGTTTCTTTAAACACTGCATTCAGGCGAAACCACTTGAGTTAATTAGCCTGCACCTGGTTGAGTAATCATGAATGAAGCAAGCTGGGTTCTTCAGCCACAGGGGACTGTTTTCAATCCCATGTGAAGTCCAAAAATAGGCTTTCTTATTTTCTAACTTTAATTTAACTTTCTAATTCTAATTTTCTTGCAGAATAAAATGATTTCTTGTCATTGACTGTCATTCTAACATACTATACATTTCTAATTAAATTAAAACAAAAATAAAATCTAAATTGAGCATAATTGTGCCCCAGTTAATCAGTTTGAATCTATCAACATTTTTACATTTGTATAATAATAACACTAAGCCTGGGCACATACAGCAAGTTAAAATTAAAAACTAGAAATTTGGTTTGTGTGTGTGTGTGTGTGTGTGTGTGTGTGTGACAGAGACACAAGAACAATGTTTACAACAGCTCAAACAGCTTGACGTCTTGGATAAACTGAAGCCAGCCTGACCAGAATATCTCTGTGGAATTTAGAGAGCGAGCCAAGGCTGATTTAACTTCAGCCACTTCAGACAGCGCTGTCTCTCTCTGTGTCTGTGCCCAGTCACCTCTCACATTCTGTCATGTGTCACCCACTCTCTAATACTCCCTCCTGACTGAAACACTTACACATAGCTCAATAATTTCTCAGGGACAGAACTGAAATTATTTCAACTGAGTTCAAGTGAAAAAGTTTAAACATAACAGCATTTTACTGCAAAACTCACTGTCAAATAAGGAAATCTATGAATGGCAATGACTTCTTTTTTAATGAGTCAGTTATCTTGGAGAACAGGGAACAGGGAAGCAGCCAAATAAAGCTTAAAAGTCCTCCTACCATGATTTTTCACTACACTGAATATTAGCATATCTGTTAATAGGGATGCAGGAAATGTTTGGACCTGTTTTCACTGATTGTCTTATGATTATTCCAGATCAATTGAAGTGCTGGTTAGTCTGAACAATGGGCAGTCGTACATCTCCAGTCCCATTACCATCTACGCCACAACGTGTGTAAGTATCAAATATAGAACCCACCCTATAAAATGGGAAAATCTCTGACTACGGACACACACGGCTCAGTGGTATGGCGCTAGTGTAATGACAGCACAAGCTATAGTAACACATTTCCTGGTGTATGGAATAATGTGTGTACTGTGGCTGATATGTGTGTGTATGTGTGTGTGTGTGCAGTCAGATGGGACCTGGGTGCTCTGGTTGCTGTTGGCTCTGCTGCTGTTACTGGCTTTGGCTTTACTCTGGTGGTTCTGGCCTCTTTGCTGCACTGTGGTGAGTCTATGTATGTCTGTGAATATCTCAGATTTGGGCCTTGGGGAAGCCTGACCCATGATGCTATTGTTATTTATGGAAGTAGCCCACAAGATGAAGTCCTAATTATTTTGTGCACAAACAGTATGAAGCACCTGTTGCTTATTCACAATGATTCTTACAGGTGATTAGAGACCCACCGCCCTCCCGCCCCCCTCCTCCACCTCCTATCATTGTGAGTAGACTGTCTAAAGGTATTCATTGTTATATATGTTGATCTTAAGTTAGAAGACGTTTTGCATTACGTTACATTGTATAGAAGAGAAGTATAAGAAGCTGTGTTTTCTTTTAAGAAATATTTTACCTCTGCAAGTGTATTTTTGATGCATTTTAAGATGACTGGACCTGTATCTATAGCTAAGAGACCTGTCAGTTAAGAAATCCTTCTAAACTTACTGCTTTTGAAGTATTACTCTCTTTTTAACAAGTTATTTAGTAGAATAAGTGAAATTCTATATGGTTTTGTTTAAAGAGAGAGGCAGACAGTTTTTGATGAATCTCTGTAGTGCAGGAAATACGATCAAACCAGCATCTGGTGACCGTTAATGGTTCTGCATCACTCACCTTACGGGTATAAGGGAATAAGGTGCAGAGCACATAGACAATTTAATCTGGAAGTCGCTATAAAGTTATTTTAATTAGCTTTTTTGTTTTTAAGGAGCCAGAAGAGGATCCCTTACCCAAACACAGGTGGCCTACAGTGGATGCTTCATACTATGGAGGCAGAGGTCCTGGAGGAATCAAACGCATGGAGGTAAACGAAAATACATAATAAATATTCATAGAAAAGATCCATGGTTGTTTGTTCACATTCATGCCTCCCTGCTGTTTTTATTTTTCCTAGTTTTTAACATCCTTCATTCAAACATTTTAATGACTAAGACCTTAAGTGTATGTTGATGAACACTCACTGGTTATTGTGGAGATCAAGTCTCTGTGTGTTCAGTATCTCTAGTTATCTCTAATGTGTAATTTGAACTCATGCCCTGTAGGTGCACTGGGGGCAGAAGGGGTCCACAGAGGAAGGGTCACGACTGGAAAAAGCCAAAAATGCTGTGGTCACTATGCCAGAGGAAGTGGAGGAGCCCATCATACCCCGACCCCCACCTAGACCTCCTCCAGTATACCAGCCCTCAGCACAGTCCAAATGGTACACTCCAATCAAGGTGTGACACTGTGATCAGTCATTAGCATCCACATCAAAGCTCCTTTTGTATCTGATTCTGAATCTGCTACTTCTGTTCCTTCACACACAATCATGCACACACAGACACACACCTACAAATACGTGATGCCTGTTTTATACCTTTCACTATCTGTATTTTTATCCTTTGTTTTTGACTCATTCATCCTAATCTGACTTGACTTTCAGGGACGTTTTGATGCATTGCTGGCATTACTGAGGAGACAGTACGACAGAGTGGCAATCATGAGACCGACACCTCAGGACAAGGTAAGAAATGTCTGTAGTATTGCAATCCAAGAATGATTCAAATTTAGGTTGGATGAAGATAAATCCTGTTATTTATAAATTTAGAATATTTGTTTTATGAGTAAATGTCTCAATACTTCCAGCTGGACTGTTGCAGACTCAAAAGAATGGTTGTATTTTTGCCATAATTTGATTAGTAAATGGATCCACCCTCTTGACTCCACTGTGATTTGATTATATAATAACAGAAAATAAGAGTGCAATGTTTTACAGTAAAGACTCAGGATCTGTCATTTAATGCCATAAGCTCTATTCTTGGGTGATACTGTATTTTACTGCAGCAAGTCTCTGACTGTGACATCTGCCTCTGGTTGTTTCTAGGGCCGCTGTATTAACTTCACTAGAGTTCAGAGTCACTGACTGTGAAACATGAGACTGAACACGTTTCACTTGTTTTTGGCTGCAAATGATTGACACAGACCTGTAGAGATGAATGTTAGGATTCAGCTGTGTATTGTAAATAAATGTTTTTACTTACACTATACGGGTGTTTTTACTGCATTATTACTAGTTTGAGCAAAGTCAGAACCAGATTCTTCAGTTTATTTGAAAGGGAACATATGTGTGTTTTTTTTTTTCACAAAGACCTTCTATACTAGTACCCTGACCAGTGACACAAATGCTACACAGAAAACGACTGAAAAAAACATACATGAGAAAACACTTTTAAAACATATAAAGTATAAAATGAGCTTTTTAAAAACATAAAAATGTAGCATCACTTTCTAGCACAGGCAGATTATAAACGGAACACATCACACATAGTATGTCATTACAGCTGAGATGAAAAAGAGGATAAGGTTCCTGTTTGCATTTAAGTTTCACATACACACATTAGTGTCGTTCAGACCCCCAAACACTTCTTTTTCAGATATGAACTGGTGTTGTATTAACAAAGTAGCTTACCAACCAACAGAGAGCTAGCCAACCAGCAACAAGCTCATGGTGAAACTTCAGATAAAGTACATGAACAATTATTATTATTATTTTTTTTAATATTTTCTGATACAAAATTAAACTTAATACTGTATAGAAAGATGCCTTAAGGTTGGACTCGTCAAATCCTATAATACAATACACAAGAAACCACAGAAGTGCATTTTGATTTAACTTGCACTATTAGCATAATGTTGCTGCCACTTGCACAATTTTGCATCACCAATATGCAGTCAAAAGTGCACACATCGCAAAATGCCTAGAACCAAATAACACATTGCTGACAAAAACTGTCTCTAAAATGTGTTTGGAAACACATATGTGGCTGATGTGCAGCCTTCAAATTAGACAAAAGGCTTGAATGACTATGAAACAGATAGAAATTGCTGCTATGTGCAAAATAGGAGCAAATGTTCTGTTCTGAATATTGGAGTTCAAATGAATCACTCAACAAGATGACAAGTAGCAATCCTACTTCTAAAAGGAGCTGTTAGCCCATTATTTATAATACAAATCAGTGTTAACCAACTCTTCTTTTGTGGTTTTTGATTGAACCAAAATATCCACAGAGAAGCAGTGCTAATACTGCAGTATAGCCAGTCACATCCAAAATTATGAATCAGACAACCATTCATGAGTCCACAGTTTGAGTCCTTTTACACTACAACCATGATGAAGGGCCACTGGAGATAAAAATAAAATCCATACACTTTTGGCTAATTTTGGAGTCGTCTGGCGGCTTGTAAGTGCCTTAGAGGAGATGCTGAAGAAGAAGTACAGCTGATGATGCAGTCATTAATCTGAGCTGTCCTGGTGGGCCATTAGGTCCCAAAATGACTTCAGTCCATGATGATTTGTAGAACAGAGGGCTACAGTAATAACTACAGATGTCATTCTTTGGCACTAGATGAATTTCATCACAGATTGTTATAGTGTTTGATTTACCAGTTATGTGTGCTCCTAGTGATCTCAAAGCCCAAAAAGCAGTGATATGTTTATGTGTGAGAGTTTGGGCCCAGTTGCATTTGTTGCTCTGTATATCAGTGTTTGTCCCAGTCCATGGCTATTGGATTGATAAAATATGTCCATAAGATAGTGTGGAGGAATCTGTAGCTTTAAAACATCTAATTTAGAGTCTGTAGAGCAGAGGAGACAGCCTTTCTCTTAAGACCGATTCTCTCGATGCAGAAGGGAGGATCTGGAAGATAAAACACAGATAATCAGGGTTACTGTGCTAACTGATATATTTATATGTTATAGTTGAGGTGTGTGTGTGTGTGTGTGTGTGTGTGTGTGTGTGTGTAGTGCATCTACCTAAGAGAACGACGACTGTCTTTCTCTATGTTGTTCTCGGGCCCTTCACTTTCATATGAGGCCAGATGCAGCTCTGCAGCAATCAAACAACACAAAGCCTGAGTTTCATTTATTTTCTCATTGGTTAACAAACTGCCAGAATATGTCACACAACCTCAAAGTTGTAGGATTTATACTGTATATGAGGAGATGGATACAGTTACTTGTATATGCAGTCAAAGGTTTGAAAGACATGAACGTATACTGACCGTCTTCACTGAAGACAGGGGTGGTTACGAGGTACTGGAGAATTCGGCGGTCTCTGTCGAATGGACAAACCACCTGACGCCAAACCAGGAACTCACTCACTTGCTTTGCCAACTCCCACAGTTTCTGTTGAGGCACAACACATTAGCCAATACTGATGCCAGTAAAAAAACAAACAAACAAACAAACAACATAACAGGCACCTGCTTGGTTCTTACAGATGCCGGTGTAGCACTAAAACCATCATAAGGCATGAATAAAAACAAAGCGTTGACAGGGAGTGTGTATTACTCTTTGTAACCACAAGGGGGTGCTATTATATTATGTATGAAAGACTGCAAGTCTCTTCTCTAAGCCTGAACTATTACTGTGTGGCAGTAACCTAATTTCATAGTGAATTCTCATTGAGATTATAATGTGTCGATAACACTGACGTGTCTGGTAATAATGAAAACAACCGTTTGTCAAAAGTACAGCCCAGACTGTTTAATTCAAACACTGAATGTATCATCTGTGGACTGACCTCAAAGTTAATGTGCCCATTGGGCAGCCTGCTGGCACAGCCTTCATTCAGAAAGTAGATGTCTTTAATGAGAAGACTGAAGAAAGGAATCACAATCTGGAAGAAAGAGATCACAGCTTGTTTACTCTCACATTTTACATATGAGACATTAGGCTTTTGTTTTTCCAGAAGCTTCTTCTCTGGTCTCTCTCACCTTCTCCTGGCTGCTGTGTGCAGTCTCAGACCTCTGGGTAGCACCACGGAGCGCAGTGCGGTAGTTACTGAAGTTACTGGATGGGTCCATCTGGTGCTGAATGAGAAATTAGACAGAGGAGACATTGATCAAACACATATATGCATGCACAAAGTTTAAGCATCAGTCAATCACTGACGTATGCAGATTTTCTCACCTCCAGGATTTCAAACTTGTCAGTGTTGACTTTACTCCAGGTTTTCTTCAGTCTAGCAACAGGATTCATGTTCATCCCAGCTGTGAGACAGGGATAGTTTGAGTATACAGTGCATTTACAGAGTCAGATCTGAGAAACTGAGCAGGCTGGACTGCTTCAAGCCTCCACTAACTCAGTTATATACTTCCTTAAACTGATTAGTGCTCCAGCTGGCACTGTATTTACTGACATGACTGAATTTGATTACTGACCATTTGACAAAGAAATGGTGGGAACTACAATTTAACTGTAGTGTTTTCTACTTCAACAACAAGCTGTGACACAGGGGCTTGTGATCATTTCATAAATAGCAATGCCCTTTCACATTATGTGTTGTGTTTTCTGTTATATACTCACTGATGATGGCCATGAGGGAGTTGAAGTTGCCAATGTTGAAACACTCCTGGGCCACATTGATGAAAAACTCTATGATCCGTGCTCTTTGTTTCTTCTTCATTGGCTGTAAGGAGAGAACAACACAAGAAATGAATCAAAGCTGTCATGTAGTATAATGTACAGGCAGATTTTAGTTTCAGTGTAAATTCAAGTACAGGTCCATCCTGGTACTAGAGACACTGTTTATGCACTAAGAGTCGTCACATGTCAGATGCGTGACCAGCTCTAGATGGTCAACTGGACCCATGTGTTTCAGAATAAAGAATAGATGATACTGACACCTACAGATGAATAACATGTAAAACAGGGGCAGAGTTAAAAGATTTCTCAACTCCTCGAAGTACAACATACCATACAGATCTCAGTGGCCACCAGGTAACTCAGTCTGTTGAACCAGCTGATGTAGGCCTCCAGGTTACTGGTTTTACGCTTCCGGAAGAAACCCTACAACACAGACAGGAAGGACGGCGTTTTCATCAGTATTGGTATATGGCATTTCTGAGAGTCTCGGTCTTTTAACAAGATTTAACTTGTTCTGGTCCTGTTTGTTAGAAGTGAGAACATAAGGTACAATATCAACATTTGGGTATATCAGCACGCCTACATGTGTTTTTGAGTCAGATATGATCATATTTAACTAATCCAGGTGTCTACACTTCCCATGTCACGGTTCCAGTTTCACTCACCAAAGGTTTTGTTTTATTAGGACTACTGTTTTGGCATTTTGGGCACATTCTTCATAAGATGCCATCTTTGATAGCTAAATTCTAATTAGCTCTCTGAAAATTTGCATCATATTTTATCTATTAAATAAAAGCATAAAAAGAAATGGAAGTGGGCACCTGGTAGGTGCCACATTATGAAAAACATCCACAATTCATTTCCAGTCAGGGACCTGTCACATGTCATATACCCCCACTCCCTCCCCATGTTTCCTGTCCGTGCTTTTTCTAGCAACTGTCAAAAAATGGTAAAAATATCAAAAATGATGATCTTAAAAAATACAATAGGGCATCAGATTGCTGTTACTCTGTAATTTCCTCTGCAAATGGATCCTGACAGCCATCACACCTACACAACCTCTGGACCTGCACACTGGAGTCTGTGATGTGCTATTTTCATCTCATTTATATTTGCTGTTGGGACTTCTGGTTTTCTGTCAATGCTCTGTGGTGGACCTGTTTACCAGAGGAACTTTTATATATATATATAAAAAAAATAGCATTATAAAACCTCAGTATAAATAGACTTGATTTGATGTAATCCCCGAGATTCATGGCTCTATTAAATGCTTACACAACGACAGCAGCCCAGTCCACTCCAAACTTCCCCTCTACACTTCAGGAGCCCTTACACTGACTCAGTCCCTCTTTTATACAAAGTGGGTCTTATATAACTGGTGCAGCAGTGGCGAGGGCCGAGATGCTGCACAGTCACAATCACAGACTGAAAGCTTATTCTCCTGCAGCGCTGATTGAAAGTGACCCCTTAGCTGACTAACAGGACCACTTAGGAGGGAACGAGCCTTTCAGATACACTTAGACACATTCAGAATGGCTCTTTCATATTGTGTTTGATACATTTTCAAAGCTACCTTTAAAAAAACTGAACATTTTATCTGCCTGAAGGATATTTTATGTGGTTTCTAAAGCAAATTAAGTGAGGCAGACCACAAATTATGCTCAAAACAAGCTCAAAATAAAGATACTTCATAAAAACAATAAAGAATGATCTAAAAATGATGACAATTGGTGGCTTTACTGTATCATTCCTTTGATTTCCATGAGCACAAACAGGTCATGTGACTTAAGTCTTATGTCATCTTAATACAAAAACTATGCAACAAGTCAGAGCTGTTGAATCTACAGTATCTGTTCATTCAGTGTAATTTGGATAATTTTGTGAAATCACACAGATTTAATCATTTGATACAATGCTAGAAGGAAAACACAAGCAAACAAATGGGAAACTAAAATGCGAGCTACAAGTTTCTGGTTGAAAAGTCAAGTTTATGTTTAATGTCTCACAGGACATTGACTGGGATAGTGTAAAACTGAAATATTGTGAGCTACAGCGTGCTGTCCAAAAACAAGCTGAGTGAGCAAATACATGTGTCCATGCGCTCAAACTCAATTGTACCTTATGGTTCTCCAGAGGATCCTTCATGGCAAATGTCTGGATGAACTCCTCAGGGCCAATAAAACTCAGTCTGTCCTGAAGGCAGAGCGCAGGAAGAGAAAACAATTAAAACAATTAAAACAGTAATATACAGTATAAGAGGAGGAAGAGCTCAAAGAAGCAAAAAGAGGCACACTAACAATCAGACGTTTGGACACAGTTTCTCACTGAATTTATTGGGAAAGTGTGTCCAAACCGTTGAGTGATCTAGAAGAAAGGGAGATCGTTGTGCATAAGGAGATTTATGACTTTAATAAAGGGTAGTTACAAAAACAAAATGGTCAGACATACACAAAAAACAGCTACTTAAAATTTAGACCTGAGTCTTAAAAACATGACTGAAAGCTATTTATCTTTATATAAAATAAGAATAAACTATATGTATAAATAAGAAATAACCATCAAAAAACAAAAAATCAATTCAACACAAAAGGACACATCAATTTAACATATATGAACATGAACTTTTACATCCTCTTAAATATTATCTATACACCGCAAAAACAATAAATCACAGACACAGCTACACATCCTCATGTCACACAATAAATGAACTTATGAACCATTGCTCCACTTAAGACCGGGCTCTTACCAGTTCTATGTGTGTGAGCTGCTGAGCGAGGACAAAAGGGTCATCGCACATGCTCAGTACGTCGCTTCTCTGACCTGAGGCCTGTTTGCTTCTCAGAGAAGCGGGCCGCTCCATCGCCACGGCGTTAAGCGCAGCCACAGCTTCCTCGTACTGGCCTAGGGCTGACAGGCGTTTGATCAGCCGCTGGGTCATCTGCTGCATGGCACGCCAAGAATACTAGAGGCATGACACACGCATTTGCAACTGTGTTCTTTATTTGAATAGTTTTATAATGTAAACACAGTAGATACTGTATGACACTGACCTCATCCCCTCGGGCCACATGGTGTGTCATGTCCTTGAGGCAGCGCATCATCCTCTCGTCTCTAAAGTCGTATGGAAATGTCTCCGTCCACTCAGTCAGCAGCTGCACCAGTTTAGGTGCCACCTCACGGAAACGGATCTGAAAAACATTATATGACATGTTAAACATCTATGAAATACGCATCATATTACTTAATAACATATATAGATATAGTCTGTCTTAGGACAACAGCTAAACCTCTTGACCTCATCAATGATGTCCATCTTTATGAGACAAAACGCTGCTAAGTTGTTCATTTTTTAAAAACTTTATTGTTCAAATGAAATGTCCTCCTGTCATTCTTATTGCCCCTGTGGTCATTTGAATCCCTTCCATTGGGACTTTGCTTGCTTATGTAATAACCGATAAAGATTTCTTCCCAAAAAACATTGTAGACGCTTATGTGTGTGTTTCTGTGGGCGAGGGTGACAACAGTATAGTGGGTGTGAGGCTGCAAAGGAGTGAGAGAGTGAAACACAGAGATATAATTATACATGCATATGTGTGTGTGTGTGTGTGTGTGAGTGTACGCATGCGATCCTCCAACCTTATCCAGCAGGGCGTCTCCAGACCGCTGCTGCTCCACACACAGGTGACAAACCCTCGTCATTAGCTCGTATGGGGGCAGGAAGAGGGGGGAAACAAGGTGAACACGTATGACCTCTAATGAAAACAGGACAAAACAGTTCAGAGGACAGGAACAGCGGGCACAGACAGGACATCTGAAATCTTTCCTCAAACTGAACTAATCTATTTACGACAGCTAATAAAAGATCATGTATTTCCTAAAACATGTAGTTATATTTTACCATTACTTACATCTGGGTAGTAGTCCACTGTGGGGACCAGGTGCTGGATCAGTGCCTCCAGGGAAGCTGAAACCAAACTGTTATCATGGTAACACATCTCGCCATAGCTTGCGGTGATGCCGTGTCCATAAAGTCGAGCTTTCGCTGCAGTGCTGCTGGTACAATAGGACTGCTGGCTGCCACTGCTGCTGCTGGTGTGACGGTATGCACGGCCTGGACAGGAAGTGCTGTGCTGGTGAGGGCTCTGAAGCTGAGGTGAGGAGTAAGGATTCTCTGAACCTGCGCAGCTGCTGCTGTAATGATGCTCCTTCATGGTCGCAGAAGAGACAGAGGAACTACGGTACGTACTGCGAGGCTGTGGGATGTCATAGGGGTTTTCTGCTGCTGAGTAGGCACAGTTGTAGACGCTGTCCTTCACTGGTTTTGGGGTGCTGCAGCTGCGATAAGGACTATGAGGCTGAGGATGGTTGTTGTTGTTGCTGTATGAAGCACAAGAGCTGAACTTTCCAGCATACGGGGTTGTGGGAGGCATGATGAGCTGTAGAAGAGACACAAAGGTTATGGGTGGGCAGAATGAATAAAATCACATCACACTGTTCCATACAATCATATAAAAAGCAATGTGCAATGAAACAACGTCTTGCCCATTGAACTGCAACACTGCCAAAAACATTTTTGACTTGTGTTCCCTGATAGTGAAGCAACTTCTACTTGTGACCCCTTGACAATAACACACAAGTGATTTTACCTTCTCTCTGAATAATTGTTAGAAAACCAAAGTGATAAAGCTACTATTAGAGAATTTTGTTATAATTATGATTTCTGTAACAGAATACGTTTTTCATCCTTTCTGACCCTTTAAATTCATGTCGCCAACCCCTCTTGTCGGTCCTGACCCACATGTTGAGAACCACTAACACTCCATCTCCTTACTCCTTAGGAATGTGGTTGATGTGTAAGCTTAAGTCACATGTTGTGAAAATATCAGTTTGAGCAACTCAATCACGCAAAGCAGAGACTTAGAGGTGTCTGTGAAAATAATGACACATAATCACATAATGTTACCCCTCCTCTGTTTACTGTATTGGCTTAGAACTGTTGAAAGATACTCTGTCTCCTGGTGACTTTCACTTTCCCTATAAAGTTACTTGTCAGTAAACAGTTTTACAAATAGGCTTCTCCCCTCCATTGTCTGTTTTCCACTGCTTTATTGCATGTTTTGTCACATAATAGAAGCTAACTTGGCAGCATCAACACTGCATGAGGGAAAAAAAGAGGCCAACAGATGGATAATCATCTAAAGACTGGGATCATTTTTTAATCTTAATGGTGAAGATAATTGGATTTCAGGTTGGTAAGCTGATCCCAGATCACCACCAAGGCGTGCTTTAACTCTGGAGCCATCTTTATCTTACTACTGTTGTCTGTCTAGAAACCACATGACGGTGTAAATCGAGCCATGCGCGTTCACACACAAACCCTGCAAAGCAATGTATACACATGCACGTATGTACACTGTGCCAGAAAATAAAACCCTGCAGGCCTCCAGCAGACTTTTGTTTGTCCATTACAGCACCAACAGAGGAGTGTCTGCCTTAGCCAACATCTTACACACACACACACACACACCCTTGTCCACGATGGCGCCTAGCCCCATGCTGGTATAATCCAAACACACACACACACACATGTCGTGCATAAACAAATGATGTCTTGAGTGACACACATACACTCTTGTACACCACAGAGCCTGGCGTCAAGCCAGAGTAAGCCAGTCCAGTACCAGCCCATCCTCTGAACCCTGTGATCTCAGCCTGCTGTTCTCCCTCTAACTCAGTTAAAAGATTACAGTGGCTTTACCTTCCTAAAGTTACAAAACATAATCTAGAAAAGCGCGGCCCTGGTGGTCAACATGAGATAAGACGGCTGAATAATATTTACTCCAGTTTTGAATGTCTTTGTTCTTTCTCCAAGGTTCTGTTTGCATTTAAGGATGACCTTATGCAAGAGGAAAACACAGCTGAAAATATGAAGCCAATCTTGTTTTGTCCAGACTGACTTCCTGAAAAGCTGATCCTTTTGAATAGTTGTGGTTTCTAAGCTGCTGCACTGAAATTCTACTCTTTCTAAATCATAGGTTGGACTGTCTGTGGACGACTTAATCATGACATTGGGAGCATAATTTCATTCTCTTGTTTGTAAACCTTAAAGATGATAGCTTTATGGAGGGGTCTGACGTGACCATAAAGATACTGGAAAAGGGAAAAATGTATAGTTTCAAAACCACAAGGATAAAGTTTCATGTGTGTAGGGTTTTCTCTTGCATTGAACTTTTGAAAATCCTAAACAAACACTACACGCTTTATACTGCATTTTCCCTTTAAGGTAATCTGTTTGTTTTTTTTTATGTGGTACTACAGACAAAAGGCAAGGATCATCTTCTAATAAGGATAATAATCTCCACACTGCTTCAAAGAGACAACACAGTTTGGTGGTTATCCAATCTCCTTCTGTACGTATTTGAACACGTTTAGCTTTTTAGTGTTCAGTGAATATCCAAATGCTTCTTGAGACATAGGTTTTTACTCTGACAAGAATACATTTGATTGTGGTGGTGTTCACCCATTTGTTTTACAATTGGAGTAACTTCCTTCTTGGATCCCAGCAGATTTACAGAAGCACAAGTAGCAAGAGCTGAAAACAACTCAGTCGTTTCAACCTTAGGCAGACTACTTTTTTTCTAAACCGCATAATGTGATTTTTAAAGGTACCAAGCTACTTGAAGGCCTGTTATAACAGGAGGGGGGAGGACAAGGGGGAGGTCTTCAACAATAGCGGTATTATCTCTCCTGTCATGGCATTACCAACCACACAAAGAACCCCAGGAAGAGATCAGAGCAGATCACATCAGATCAGACACACACACCGCAGCTTTCACACACTCTGCTCTCCACTGTCGGGCCTCATGACACCAACCCTCTGCATGAACCGAGGCTAGGATCATTTTCACATCAGTCAAACCAGTACAGTAGACTTCTTCATTCTTCTCTAAGGTGTGAACATATTACAACTTCACAGACATCATTACTGTACTATGAAGTCATGCGTCATAAATCTGCCCTTTTATTTTGAAGTGCAATAAACGCACAGGTATCTATCTGTCTTAGTGACTTTGGTAAAGGTGATCGAAACTCACATATTGACATAAGCAGATATTACTGCACGTGGCTCAAGAACCTCAAGGAGAACACCTTCAATTTAGTGCAAAATAGATTTTAGGGTGTCTCAACTGTACTTTACTTTAACGTGCACAGTGGCAGGAAAAGCATGTTTCTGTAAGAAAGCCCTCACAGTCAGCCTTATAACTAGAAATGAGGTTAAAGTCCAGAAAACACTGCAGCCATGCAAAGTGGCATGCAAAGAGTTGACAGCTAACTTAGGCCTAAATTGTCCTTATTCAAAGCCAGTTGAACCCAGCGAGCATCTATGTCCTCCATGAAGGTGTTACTAACTTGCTGTGATTGGGATATTCTGTCCATACTGCCCATTGTATCTGAAAGCAGAGGACAATTTGTGGTTCCTATATCCTCACAATAAGGATACTAATCCCCTTGAAAAATACTATGTTTGGCATGTAGATTAACATAATGTGGACACATGGCGTGAGAAAAAACTTACCAAGAGAAGCACTCTGTCAGGCTGTACCTGATAACAGGACCTTTAAAAACATTTCAGAATAGTAAAAGGCTAATAAAATGCAATGATATCTTTGTTTTTCCTTGTATCCTATGTACTTTGACTTATAACATGTACTATAAAGAGCAAGGGAGGTCAGACTGAAAAAGCCTTATGACTTTAAATGAGGTCAAAGTCCAGACTGAGATCATACCATTTACTTGTGGTTTTGTCAAAGCTGCACAGTTTTTAGACGCGTTAACCCCTAAAAAGTACTATCACACAGGCTGCTTATTTTTATCGACTTGGCCGGTCTGTAATAAAAAGGGAAAGAAAAAATAAACTAAGTGAATCCAGGTTTCTCTGGAAAGAGGGCTCATTCATTGTTGTTTGGACGACTTCTCAAACTTTGATTTGCTACTTCCTTGGGGAAAGTAACTATAATTGACTGCAGGAAACTATAAAAAAAAAATAAAAAAAATCTTTGATGCCTCATCTCATCTCATGGTGCAGGGACATTCTTCTCTGAATTTTGTAATGGAATATCTTAAATATGGCCTACTGAAGTTTTTTTTATTTATTTATCAGAACTGACTAATTAATCCTGAGCCTGTCTTGTCTTCTCCTTGTTGGTAAGTTTCAGTTTGTTGGAGTTTAGAGAAACTCCGCTGCATTAGGCTGTTTATCACCTGGCACCACCTTGTACTGATTCTGCTCTTGAAACTACAATTGGCACTGACAGATTTTATGTAATACTCATGAAAATTGTTTTATTATTGCAGCAATGGTTCTGATAAGGGACTGTACATAAATTATTGGGGTGGGCAGGAGGGCTGAAGCTTATAATTCATTATTTTTAAAAGCAAGGCCCTTCCCTGCATTATTAATATTTTTGTTGGATTCCCATGACTTGTTGGACACTCCTCGTGAAAAAACGGCAATATCTCCAAACAATATAAACAAACCAAAGGTGACAAATGAACAAACATAGCACAAATACAGCCACTCGCTTATTCTGAATAAATATAACTACATGTGTAGTTATTACAGCCACTGAGTAAGTGAATTGGGAACAGACTGCTGATTTGGATTAGAAAAATAAAGCCCAGATTCATGTGGTAAAAAAGCATCCGTGGCACACACACAGATATCTCTTTTGATTCTCATGAGGAACGAAACAATAGAGACCCTCTCTTGCTCTGTGAGGAAAAGTAAGACACTTTCCTTTTATTAATAAGACAAAGTACACAAGCCACCCCATTTTCAGAGCCCTCCTCCCCCAAATAATTTTGGTGCAGTCCCTAAATTGGGCACAGAATTTGTTCTAGGCAGGAAAATCCCTAAATCAGTTTTTTCCATGAAAACCAGAGAAGTACCTATCAGATTACAGAGACTCAGTTTGGGCATGCAGCGATGTTTAAGCCAGGTTATGTTTGTTTTGACCTTTCTTTGGTCATTTTCAAATGCATGTAGATTAAATGCTGTATAGCTTTGTCAAACATTCCCTCTGGTTGAAGCAGTCTGAAATCTGAGATAGCACTTTTTTTCTTGCTATGATACTCTCATGACATGACATTCTTTTAGTTTTGTGGTCCCACAGAACCAAGCCAACAAATCTGACTTCCAGACTTCAAAGAAAAGGCAAGTCATTTTCTATATTTATATACTGTAGAAATCATTTCTCAATAGGCCTGCATGATTGTTAGATGAAGTCTCCGTGAAAGTTAGTGGACCGTAAACAAAGCACAGAGCTGGCACGGAGATTTCGCACATGCACAGTTCACTCTTGCTAACTTCAGATGCTGTAAACATTTACAGCCAATCCGGCGAATAAGCCAATCCGGGTTGGAGACTTACAATTCATTGCTGCTTTTAATGTCTGTATGGGGATTGTTGAAACTACTATTAATGTAGAAAATGACCCACTTTCTCCTTTAAAGCGTCACCTAACCAAATGAGTCAAGCCAAGTAGGAGGAAGCATCACAGAGCTTAAACAAACCACTCCACTCACGCTTGAGTAGGCACATTGGTCAGATTAGACTGCCAACACCAGACCCACTGACCAGTGTAAAAACCTGCACCTGCACCTAAATCTGACAGACAGACAGCCAGAGCCAGACATAAACAGACTCTACTGTCAGATTTACCACAGAGATATGTGGAATACAATTCACCCACTGCTGGTGCTTTTTCATCTTGTTTCCCACACACACTGCATTCAAGCAGGCACTTCCTTGTGTGTGGGCTCTACACACGCTCATGGGTTTTGTATAGAGGCACACAAGCACACATACATACACACACATGTCCTCTGTATGATCTGTAGACTAGTACAGTATTAACCTCTAGTCAGAAAGGAGTACACTTTACCACCTAAGCCTCAAACCGCAATGGAAAGATTTCAAATTAAGATTAAAGTTGAAGTAGGTAAATTTAACACATGAAACAACACAACCTGGTTGTTTTTAGACCAGCTGAAGGTCCAAATGTGGGCTGTCCTTCTCAGACTTATTGCATAGGTTTGACCATTTACTTTGGGGTTAATTTAGGCACCTGGTCTGACAAAGTAAGTTAAAGGACTGTAAGAGATGAAACAAGCTTTTAAAAGTCCGTTTGGACAGAAGTACACACACTTTCATTCTTTTTTTCTTTTCACAGACACAATCTGTTATTCTTACTCTCTCACACTGACACACACACACACCAACACAAATGCCTGGTCTACATTATGGCCTTCTAACTGAGTCATAACAGTAAAAGTAAAAGCTGACTGTGAAAAAGCCATGCTGTGCTACCACAGTCCAGTCCCAGGTGCTGGTGAGTAATCTTTGCTTATATATGATAGCCAATCTAATTATAACCTCATATGGGCGGTAAACAATAACAACAGGGAAGGTTGCTATGAGGGAAAAAAGACACTGGGGAAGGTAATGTTTGTATCTATTTGTCAAATTATCATAAGACTGAACAAAAGCTTATTATTATTACTATTATTGATTTTCTGATAATAAAGTAAAGAAATCAAGTTTGTTATAGTTATAAAATAACACTATAGGCCTAAACCTTAATTATAAATAATCTGGGCAATTTACTGAACAACCTAATGCATCAGTAAATACCTATATTCACTAAAATAAATCCTCCAAACATTTTGTGAATAAACATGAATTTAACACTGTAAAATGTATTATTATAATTATGGCTCTATTAAACCTCTCCATGAGTTACACAACATCTTACAATAAAACAGTTTGCTAAACATTTTAATTTCAACAGTAATAAAATGTATTGTTTGTATAAATGACCCCATCCACACCCCGAACAATTTACCTCTCAAGTGATGCAGATCGATGTCCGATAACAATCTGTGTCACTGGCAGAAAGTTGGAAAAGAAAAGAAATGAGTCTGTCCGAACTATGTGTAGTATCTCTCTGTCCTCACACCGGGAAAAGCTGCACAGTGTGTAGCATACACATTAAGTCTTTCAACAGTGAGTCCGTGGTATGTTCTGGTCCATTGTGTGTCTTCACTGCGGTGATATTTGAGTCAATTTGAACCACCAGAGCTGAGGAGCCTCAAAGCGAGGCGTATTCAAATGACTTCCAAAGAGCCGGGAAAATCGGCCAATCGCTGCACGGAGGCGGGGTTTTGTGCAATGTACTGGCCAATCGTAGTGGAAGAATAGAATATCGAAATCTTTGAAGGTTCTGATTGGCTGACTCGCCGTCCATCGAGCTCTTTCTTTGCAAACGCAGCCAGAAGGAGCGACTGTTTTTGTTGGAGAGCTGAAATATGGAAGGTGTAAGGTTTCCTCCCGGAATGTGGCTGTGTGAAGGCTGTATGGCTGGAACTTGGTTTCAGTGAATTATAAATCCAAACTTTGCAAAAGTACATTGTTTATAACCTGTTCTGTTCTAGGTTCTGCGTTTTAAAGGATGTCATTAAGCACTTTAACTATTTAGAAAGAAAGTTGTGAGAAAAACAGTGATTAAAAAAACAATGCAAGAATAGCACTTTATTGTTTATCAGGCCTTTTACTTTTACATAGTGGATTGCATAAAATCATTATGGGTCAATTAGTTTTTTTACTTTTTTTATTTTTAACTGCCTTATGTTGCTCCATTCATTTGTGCCCTATATCCCTGCAGTTTGCCCCAATATGACTAATGCCTGATAGTTAATGTTAAACATTTTGCTGGCTTAAAGCTGCATTCATTTATTTATTTATCTGGCCACTTTTGCTGAAAACTAGTTTTGTTCTGAATATGTAGCAGTCATAATAAGCCTGCATTCATTTAGAGTCATATTTCTGATGACCTCATGAAGTATAATACACCTTTTTAAACTCTTTACTTCCATCAACTACTGAGAAGAATATTTAACATTTGAGATACAAGATCGCCCAAGCCAGCCAATCACCAACTTGTCAGCCAAATCATAAAATGGTATTGGTGAGAGCACAGTTTGTTAAGCTGAGAACTAAGACAATGAGCTGAAAGTTGCTTCAATTGTCCATGGAGTTGAAGCAAACTACAGAGTTTGGTGGTTATTCTCTGTGGGTTCATCACTACCAACATCGCCTCCACATTATATATACAGTATGTGTAATACCTGGATAGTTCTTAATTCAAACTATATTTACTGGTTCAGCTTGAATATTAGAAGTGGTTTTATTGTTGCAAGTAGGAGTGTTGTTGGTGATGTGTCTAAACTATAAACAGTTATTAACTCTCAGCGGCGGTGCGTGCACTATTCAACACAGAAGGCAGTAAAGGCATAATGGTAATTTGCAGGATTTTGTCTTTATTTGCAAGAACTGCATTAATTGCATGTTGTTCCATTACAGGAATTAAGAACAGTCAGTAATTCTCAAGTTATCCACTGAGATTTTGAAAGGATTTCACAACCCTAGAAGGGTGGAGAAATGACTCAACCCATAACAGTCTTGATCTTGGTACATGCAGCCTTTCAGTCCAGTGTGGGCCTGTGGCGCCGGCAGGGTTAAACAATCAAAATTCTGTTTTTTTTTTTTTTTTACTTTGTCAGAATACAAAAACACCTCATCTCCTTTTCTAAATGTTTAGAATATACTCTAAATATATATACTAAGCCCCATCCAACAATCTAATTTCCCATGAAATATGGCAATTAAAGTAAGGTGGGTGCATACCATAGGCCTCCCACCCCTCAACCACCACTGCACTGCTTCCATCCACCTCAGCCCAGTCCACTCCTTTCCATTGCATAAATATCACATTACATAAATCCAGCATTTGCTTTACAGTAGAACCAGGCACTGAGGTTGTAGGCGGTACTCAGTTTTTGATCACTGACACCTCTTACATTCTGACACATCACCATTCAGGCTAAAATAGCTGAGCTCTGAGTCCTTCAGGCTGCAGGGTTTTCTCATTTCAATAACCCAACTCCTACACCAGCAAGTACCCGAGTGCACAGTTTACGGCTGTGCTCAACCGTGCGTGAATCACATATACACTGAAACAAAAGTATGGCCATGCACACACACAAACACACCTTCTGGTGATGCTTTACCATGTGATGCTCAGTGAAGGCTTCTCATTGCATATGGCGCTTTGACTGCCTGCTTGGCACCCACAGCCACCAGAGTGCTGTTGAAGAAGACATCCTGTAAGAGAGCATACACAGTCAGGGATGTCAATATAAATAACTTTGACTTTTATTTTTATGTTCGTTCATCACTGCCATCCATGTTCGACCATATGAATCATTTTTATGAGATGTCATCAAGTTTAACCCCACTTTGGATTTTTGCTACAGTGCTGCTCCTCTGTTCATAATCTCATCTATGTCTGTCTGTCCTAAAATGAAGCCAAAATATTACAGAAGAATGAATAAAACCAGTTTTTATTTTCTTCACATCAGACGAAACCCTTAGCCCTTGTATAGTAGAGTGACAGCAATTTTCTCAAGCTTAAAATTGCTACCAAACACTGGAGAACTGGCCATTGCTTAATTGTCCCTGTAACAAGAAAAAATATAAAAACAGGTCAAAGAACATCCTGCAGGAGACTTAATGGATCCAGGGGCTTAATTGGTTAAATGAAAAAGTGATTTAATTGAATTCCGGATGTTTCTGTTTCTCATCTGCCCACACTGTTAAGCTGTTACTGAAGAAGAGACAGTCATGAAAAGCTAACCTTTGTCCCTGTGTTAATGCACAGAGCTCATGTTAATGCATTTAGTGTTAGGTGGCTTAATTTGTTCTATATCTGCAGTAATTACAGCAGAGAAACAGTCATCATCTTGCCTACACTTCTCACTCACGCACAGCTAATGCAACAGGTGTTACTCATTTTGCATTATCCATCAGAACAAATCATGCAGACATTAAAAGCATCATCAGGAACAACAATGACTGTAGTAGTCTTTAATTTGATTCTTAGCTGCTGTGTGAACATAACCTGCCAGGAACAAGGCCTGTATGTCATATATACAGATTTAAGAGGTTGAATAAAACATTGAAAATGATCACCCAACTACTGGTCCTACATTTATCAGGTGCTGAGAAAGATGAGTCCAAATGAATAACAATGTTGCTCTGTCATAAATGGCCAAAAACGGCCGATATTACAGGTGTAAGTTTTGGTTAAGATTGTATCAGAGAGGATTCAACACAATTTTTAGTTTTTGAGGCCAATATAAATGATGGTGTTGTCTAAATCAGTAGCCTTATCCATGAGAGTTACCCAAAATAATTAACACTACATTATAATTCCTTCAACCTGTTTTTTGATTTTTACATCAATGAAGGCATTGCTTAGGATAAAACTGAGATGCTGGAAAATCTTTTTGTTCAGAAGCTTCTGACAGGCAGCCTATGAGGGATTTCAGGGAAATGATGACATGGACAAAACAAATGATGTCAGCCGTCACAGACCTGCGTGCTGTAGTGAGTGTGGGTGGGATTACACAGTGACATCTGGGTGCGATCATGACTCTTTGGGGGAATAGATGGGGAGAGGTCCTGAGAATCGGGGGAGGGGGACCAAAGGGGATGGGGTATAATGGGTTTTGCGGTAGAACAGAGGAGTGAGCGGCTGCTACGGTGACATTCTTTACTTTTCTCTGAGGAATGCAAGCACTAATATGATGGTAACATTTCAAAACATTTTACAAATAATGAAATAAATCTGCTGCATAATTGCAAATCCCAACAGGTTAGTTGTATTTTAATTTATGTTTATATGCATGGAGGAGGACAAACATAAGGACAGCCAGACTGATAAGAGTAGATGATATGTACAATAAGATATATGAGGAGGGGCACTGATGGGAGAGGAGGGATGGACTGGGAGGGGAGGAAGACTGGTGACTCATGGACTTCCAGTAAGTGGTCTGACTCAGCTACTGGAAGCCCCTTGACCTGTCTGGATACAATGTATGGCCAGAAGTCTGTGTTTGTCACTTTGCTGGGGAAAACAAAAACATAAAAATAAAATATAAAATGCGATTAGCTGTTTCTGGGTTACGGGTAAAATCTTGCATAGGAAAACAAAACAGAGTTTGCAGATTAGATTCATGATGATGTTTGTCAGTTTTGGTCTGGGCAGGTGACAAATAAACATTCATAATAACATATTTATTTACATGATGAGTGTTTTTCCTAGCAGGAGCATGTAGAGTGCCTCAGATCAGTTTTCTTAAAAACACATGAGTTGCATGGATGAGGCCCCTTCATCATCACTCCTCTAATACACTGCACCCCCACATTCATGTGCACACTCTT